TTATTCAGGATGGTTTTTTTGTTTGTTTGTTTGTTTGTTTTTAATTGTATTTTCAGTTTGGTCCTGGGAGCATATTAGGTTATCTTCTACTTATACTGCTGCCATTTTGGAAATAGGCCCACTGACCTACCTATATATATTTTTTAAATATATTTTTATTGATTTTACAGAGAGAAAAGGAGAGGGATAGAGAGTTAGAAACATCAATGAGAGAGAGAAATCAATCAGCTGCCTCCTACATGCTCCCTACTGGAGATCGAGCGAGCAACCAAGGTACATGCTCTTGACTGGAATCAAACCCGGGACCATTCACTGACTCTCTATCCACTGAGCCAAACTGGCTAGGATGTGTTTTAACATCATTATGCATAAATTTTTCTCACATGTAGCATTTTCTTGGAATAAAATTTCCTGGAAATGAGAAGGCTAAAGCAAAGAGTATATTTTGCCAATCTCATAGCATCAAAGAGTTTTTTACATTCATGTATGAAATTATTACACACAATCAGGTGCACTATCAGGGCCGGGGAGGGACCTAGGGAGGACTCCAGAGTATGTCCAGCCCATCTTGCCCAGTCCTGATTGGCTGGATCCCAGCAGCAAGCTAACCTATTGATCAGAGCATCTGCCTCCTGGTGGTCAGTATGCGTCATAGCAACTGGTCGAACAAATGGTTGGGCACTTAGCATTTTAGGCATTTATTATATAGGATTTATATTTCTTCTTTTGGGTGTCCAAGCTAATCTTTTATAAACATCACTAGAGGCCCGGCGTACAAAATTTGTGCTCGGGTAGGGTCCCTAGGCCTGGCCAGCAATCAGGGCCAATCGGGGCCTTCCTTGATTCCGTGCTTCCCCCTGGTGGCCAGCGCGTGTCATAGCGAGTGATCGAACTCCTGATCAAACTCTCAAGGGGACAATTTGAATATTAGGCTTCCCCCTCCCCCCGCCATTGTTTTATTCTAAAACCATAGTGTCATGATGCTTCAATAAATTGAGCCACCATCCATACACCAACAGGTTGCTGGTCTGATTTCCAGTTAGGGAACATTTGTAGAAAGGGTCAGTGGCACATACGGGAGGCAACCTGATTAATGTTTCTCACGTTCTCTCTTTCTTTCTCTCTCCCTCTTTGTTCTAAAAAAAGCCCTAGCCAATATGGCTCAGTAGGTGGAACATCGTTCCATGCACCAAATTGTCTCAGGTTTAGTTCTCAGTCAGGTTATACCCAGGTTTTGGGTTTGATCCCCGGTCAGGGCATGTACAGAAGGCAACCAATTGCTGTTTCTCTCACATCGATTTTTCTCTCTGTCTCCCTTTTCTTCTCCCTTTCTCTCTCTCTAAAGTCAATCAAAACATTTCCTTGGATGAGGATGTTAAAAAATAATAATTTATAGCCGAAGCCGGTTTGGCTCAGTGGTAGAGCATCGGCCTGCTCTACCACTGAAAAGTCCCAGGTTCTATTCTGGTCAAGGGCATGTACCTTGGTTGCGGGCTCATCCCCGGTGGGGGGTGTGTGCAAGAGGCGGCTGGTTGATGTTTCTCTCTCATCGACGTTTCTGGCTCTATCTCTTTCCCTTCCTCTGTAAAAAATCAATAAAATATATTTTTAATAATAAATAAATAATAATTTATAAAAGCTGTAGTATCATTATTTCCTATCTCTGATTTTCAAGACCCTTCATAATTTGGCCCTAAAGTATTTTTCTAACTTAATGCTGTCTTGTAAGAGTCATCCAGTAGTTATCCAACTTGTTCATATACCTTATTTTACTAGTATTCATTTTTTTCTTGGATTCATTTCTGAGTAATGTTTTACCTTCTTTGTAAAATCTTTTATTTACTATTTTTCTTACTTTTTTTCTGCCTATTATATCCTTCAGAATCCTTTTAGCCCATTATACAATAAACTTACCCCAAACTCTCTAGCTTTCATCCATTTTCGCTTACTTGATTTCACACTATATTAATTGATTTCATAGCATATTGTAGACTGCTTTGTTGTGTTATTTTATGAAACATCAACTGTGTGTGAGGCCATGAGTACATAGCAATGGGCAGAACAAACTTTACAAAGTTTGCAGTGTCATAATGATGGATATATTTTCACTTCTTTGCTTTATTAATAAAGTTGAACTTTTTATATATCTCTATTATATATGAAGTATGCACACATTTTTTTGATATGTAATTAGTTATATTTCTTAAATGGATTGAAAAATCATTGTGGATATAAAGCATGTTTTATGCTTCTGTATTCTTTATAACTCTTAACTCAGTTCTGAACAAAAAGTCATTACTAAGTATATATTTGCTCTGTTAATGTAACAAAAATTGTAGGCTGTGGAGTCCTGTACCTGACCTCATATTACAGCAGAAGATCTTATAAAGTAACTGTACAGCATTTGCAGGTTATTTAGCTTCTCTAAGCTTATTTCCCCATATGTTAAATACCTGCTTCAGAAGGTTTTCATGCGGGTTAAATGAGATAATGTATGTAAACCATTTATCGAAATGCTTGGTACTTAGTCAGTGCTTATTAAAACATACATATTATTATAATTTATTTAACCTCTCAAGCTAGAAACTGCTTCATCAGCCTTTTATTTTTCTAAGTTCTTTCATTTAAGCCAGTGGTCGGCAAACTCATTAGTCAACAGAACCAAATATCAGCAGTACAACGAATGAAATTTCTTTTGATAGCCAAATTTTTTAAACTTAAACTATATAGGTAGGTACATTGTTATTAACTTAGAGTACTCCTAAGCTGACCTTTGCTAAAAACTCAAGGGGCCAAAGAGCTGCATGTTGCTCACGAGCCACAGTTTGCCGGCCAGGGATTTAAGCATTTAACCAAATTATGCTCAGTTTACTTCAATTATTTTTCAATTTTGCCTCTTCTCTTAATCCTCACCTTAACCCACAATAAGAAATACATTTAATATTTTGTATTATGTTCATTTGCAAATATTTGAAACAAAAATTTTATGAAATAATTTTGTTATTATTTGTAATGCATTCTGATTTTTTTGTTTTGTTCTGTATTAATTTTTTTTTTTTTAAAAAAAAGCTGTGTCCTGGCTGGTGTGGCTCATCAGGTTGGAGCATCATCCTGTGCACCATAGGGTCCAGGGTTCAATTCCCAGTCAAGGCACATACCCAGAGGCAACTAAAGATGTTTCTCTTTCTCTGTCTCCCTCTCTCTCCCTACCGTCCTTTCTCCCACCACCCCCTTTCTCCCTTCTCCCTCTTAAAAAAAAAAAATCAATAAAAATGTATCTTCAGGTGAGGATTAAAATAATAATAAGTAAGAGTTGGTCACAACATTAAAACTGATTACAAAATAGTTTGAAAAACACTGGTCAAGAACTTTGAAATTTGCAAAATTTGGACTAGTACTGAACTGGATTATGTTCAAGTGTAAATTTTCAATAAAATAGAAAACAGTTTAAGTGACTTGGACTTGGAGCTTAATTCAACTGCACTTTCTCTTTTTCTTCATTAGTTATATGTAATTACCTGTTCTCAATCTGGTTTTACTACTCAATGTGGAAATGTTTAGTTGTGCATTTTCTACTTATAGAATGTGATTGATTACTCAGCAGCTGGTGTGACAGAAAATTCTCAACCACTTATGTGTATTGTTTTCCTTAGGACAGAAATTAACATACATAGATTTTAAAGTTGTTAGCATAATTCTCAAAGAGGGACCTGAAAAAGACTTTTTTATTATGGAAAACTTAAAATATATTTAGAAGAAGAAAAAATAGTGTAATGAATCTCTATTACCTAAATTCTAAATTCAACTTCAGTAAGTATCAACATTATGTTAATTCCAGAAGGAAATTTTAACAAAGAACTTTTAAGGCACACATGATTTCCTTTCTTAATACAGATAGATGATTGCTTTTCAGAAGATGTGTATCAGCTTTACTATATCTTGCTTTAGTACTCACAATCCACTCATTTTATTTGATACTTGCAAGAAGAGTAAATAATTATATGATACAAGTGAACAGGGATGGGATAGGGTGAATTTTCCTGAGGGTTGCGTAGAACACTAAGCCCTGGTCATCTTACTTCAAATATTTTAACAGCCTCATATGCCAGCCTTCCTACTACTCACTCAGTTCCATGTACCTTGTTGCCATTTGATCTTTTAAAAATGACTGGGGGGGGGGGGGGGGATAGAAGCTCATTACCTGTGTCCTCTGTTGAAAACCTTCTATTCCTTTTTCCCTACCTTTAGAATAAAATCCCAAACCATAGATTTTTTCATTCATAATCTGGCTCCAGCCTACCTTTCTAGCTTTTTCTTCTACTCTGTCTCTTCTCTGCAACATTCAGCTTACTATTCCTATAAAATATTTAGTCCTATTAGCACTGCTACTTATTTTTAAGATCCAACTTAAATTTCATCTATGGGTGAAAGAAATATGTAGTTCCTTTTATTGCTTGCGTGCGCGCGCACACGTTGTGTGTGTGTGTGTGTGTGTGTGTGTGTGTGTGTGTGTGTTTTGTGTGTGTGTGTTTTGCCAAAGTGATGGTTATATCTCACTCTTGTTAGTTTCCTAAACACTTCTTTGGTACCCATACATAGTAGTCATCCAATAGTGGTTTATTGAATGAATGTATGAGTACTTTTAGAATTTTAGAATCTAATTCCAACACAGACTCTCCAGAGAGTTCCTTTAAGTTTTATTTTCATTTTGTTTTGTGCATGTGTCATTGTTTCCCATCCCTCCTTTGGGGAGTTTTGTTAAAATTTCCAGAGAGAACCCAAGTTCAATAGTCTTCCTTAGAGGGAAGCATACTCTGGTAAACTAGTGTAGATTATCCATATTGAACATTCTTGTAATAAAGGTAAGTAAAATCTACTTTTAGTATACTTAATTTTTTGCTATTGTTGAAAAATATAGTTTAATGGGGCTATAAAGAAAAATGAAGTGGAATAAATTTGTGCTTATAATGGACTTGATCAATTTTTTTTATATATTTCAGCTCATGGAATGCTGTGTAAATGCCCTGGTGACATCCTTTAAAGAAACTATCTTAGCAGAATGCCAAGGCATGATCAAGCGAAATGAAACTGAAAGTAGGTAAAATATCACTTAAAGTTCTCATTATTTTTTAAGAAGATATCTTTGAGACAGATCACTTTTAATAAATTGCTATTAAATCACTCTTTTATACATAGGTATATTTGTTTAAGTGAACTGTGCTTAAAGAAAATCCTTTCTAATAAAATGGTAATATGTAAATTAATTGTCACTCTGTCACAAATATGGCAATGCCCATAGCCACAAAATGGTGGCGCCCAGTCCTCTCAGCCCCAAGTCCCTCAGTCCCCAGGGGATGGCTGCTGAAGGCAGGAAGTGTGAACAGCCTGGAGGAATGCTTGCTTCATCACCGCAGCAATGAGGCAAGGTTCGCACCCAGCCATGGATGGCCTCTGGGCCGCGGAGAGCCTCTGGCCAGTGGGTGTGGAGCAGCCAGGACTGCAGAGAGCTAGGATTCATGCACAGGGCTACCAGTGATAAAATATTTAGCACAATTAGAAGCACTATGAAGATTATACACTTACATGTTAAGCATTTCCCCACCCCATTAGGTGTCATCAGTACATGCACAAATGCACATGTGTGTATTTCGATTTATTCTTCGAAATATGACTGTGTGAGTGTGTGTGTGTATTTTAATCCTCACCTGAGGATATTTTTCCCATTGACGTTTTTTTTTTTTAGAGAGAGTGGAAGGGAGGAAGAGCAGGGAGAGAGAAAGAGAAACATGGTATAAAAGGGACACATTGATTGGTTGCCTCTCAAATGTGCCCTGACAGGGGCCTTGGATGATACTGCAATCAAGGTGTGTGCCTTTAGCTAGGAATCAAACCTGCAACCCTGCAGTTCCAAGGCCAGCAGTCTAACCACTGAGCCAAACAAGCCAGGGCAGGGCTCAATTTAAGATTTCAGAATTATTTTTTTAAATTACTTAAGTGTCTTCTTAATAAAGATGTATTTGAGTGGCAAGTACATTACAACCAAAAAGAATACAGTGTAAATGATCCATATTCCCTACTACCAGAGAACCACTTTTGTCATTTTGATGTATTCCCATGCAAATTTTAGTATGTATAATTGCAAGGTCCCATTTAATCTCTAGTTGCATTAAAATATGTCTTTCAATTCACTTAAGTTCATACACTTTATAGAAGTAATAAAAGCAGCTGCTCGATGGATTAAATGTTGAATTTCTGTATGCCAGACTAAGTAGAGTTATATCTGATCCATTTTGGACTCCCTCCAAAAGGATTTATTTAGTAGTAACCAGTTCTGTGAAGTAAGATTTTTGTGAAGGTCAATTAAATGGTATAACATGAGAAAATGCTTTCGAACACTGAAAAATTCTTTATGAATACGGCTTTATATTATCACTAATAAAATTTTATTTTGTAGTCATTACTCTGAACAATCTAATGAGATGATTTTTTTTACTTTTTCATGATATGGTAGTATATTTAATATTATATCTACTAGTACTTCATAAAATGTGCTACTGTTCTATATAAACTGTTGTACTTCTTAGAATAAAATATTCCCTGAAAGAGTGGGGTTTTACAGTATGTGATCATTTTTCATTAGTTTTTTTACAATTACTTTTTGTCAGACTGACAAGGTGGATCAGGAGTTTATAGTACTTCACTATAACAACTCCTGAACTAATTGTACCCACAAAATATTATCAACTTCAAACTAGTATTTCTCCAAACTCTTGCTGTCATAGGTGTCCTACATCCATCATACAAAGAGAAAACTTACTCTGATGGTTGCAGCGATTACATGTGTGTGTTCTATCCTTTCAGAATTACATTTAATGTTTTCATTGATGGACAAAGTTCCTAATGGGATAGAGCCAATGTTGAAAGACTTGGAGGAACATATCATTAGTGCTGGCCTTGCAGATATGGTAGCAGCTGCTGAAACTATTACTACTGTAAGTTTTCCTCAGTGGCAGTGACTAATGTATATCGAGTTTTGTGTGTGTTTTTTTTTAATGGATATTTGGGTATTTAAAACAGTAATTGATTGGGAATCAGTGATGTTGGAACTTATTTATTTTAAGGAAATTTGTTTTCAGAAAGTTTCCCAAATTTTAAGACTAACCTGTTTTATTAAAATAATGTTTGTATTTTCTCACTTTTTTGTATTCTTTTTAAAAACTCGGTTGACTGTAAAACGTTTTATTTTTAGGACTCTGAGAAATATGTTGAGCAGTTACTTACACTATTCAATAGATTTAGTAAACTCGTCAAAGAAGCTTTTCAAGATGATCCCCGATTTCTCACTGCAAGAGATAAGGTATATATTCCTGTATACTTACACTATTGTCATTATTGTTCTTTATTTAGATTTGTAAAGATACATTGTTTACTGAGTAAAAGCAAAGTACAGAAAAGAATATTGCATAATTCTGTTTATGGAAAATTGAAAGGATATGCATTTTATACTTAGTTTGCCTATTATATGTCATAGTTTATTTTAATAAGAAACTAAAACCCTAGGAACTTTGATTTTTCATCAGTGAGGGCAATTATATTTATTATATTTGGTTTGTTGTACATTTTTGTAAGCATTGGGTATACTTGTGAATTAGAATTTAGCCAGAAACTTGCTCTTTCTCATTTTTCCAAGAATGTTTTTTCTGTTTTTTAGTATTATTGAAATATTAAATTAAATGGCTTGCAGAGGCTTCTTTGAGGTGACATTTGAATCAAGATTGAGGCTAAATAGAATGAGTCATGTGTGTGTCTGAGGAAGAGTGTTTCAGCCTGAGCAAAGGCTCAGCAGCAGAAATATACAATCATATTCCAAAAGCAGAGAAGAAAGATGTCAGTTTGGCCAGAGTGGATTGAATGAGGAAGAGAATAGTAGAAAATAAAGTCAAAGGTAACAAGAATTCAGGGCATGTAAGAGTCTGTGGCCATGGCTTTTACTCTTAGTAGGGTTTGGAAAGTCATTGAAAGCTTTTGAACAGAATGACAGGACCTGACTTACATTTTTTAAATGTAAGGGAAGAAACAAAAATATCAGTTAAGTACCTATTTAAGTAATTAAATTAAATTGTGGTAGAAGCATGGCCCAGAACAATAGTGGGTACAGGTAATCAAAAGTGGTTGAATTCTGATTACATAATGAAAATAGACTATACAGGATTTGGTAATGAATCAGATGTGGAGTGTGACCTAAAGAGACCATTCCAGGATGCCACTCAGATTTTTGTTCTCATCAATGAGAAGCATATGCTTGCTGAGATGGGGAAAACCAGAAGTACGTTAGGGAGAGATGGTTGCAGAGAGATTAGGAATTCAGTTCTAGACAAGTTAACTTGGAAATGTTGATTAAACATCCATGTAGCAATGTCAAGTCTGGAGTTTAAGGGACGGAGTGAGCCTGAAAAAAATAAATTTGGGAGCTTCAGCATATAGGTGATATTAAAGCACTGACACTACTGTGATTACCAACGTAATGCGTCAGGACAGAAAAGAGAACCAAAAACTGGCCTGGTGCATTCTAAATTTAGTTATCAGAAAATGAGGAGCCGTCTTTCCTTATGAAAGGAGAATGGGTGGGATGATTAGGAGAGTGGTGTGCTAGAAAACAAGTGGAGGAAGCACTTTCATGAAGAGGGCATGATATTCAGTTTTTTTGGGGGGGGTTTGTTGTTTTTTTTTTTTAAATATATTTTATTGATTTTGTACAGAGAGGAAGGGAGAGAGATAGAGAGTTAGAAACATCGATGAGAGAGAGTCATCAATCAGCTGCCTCTTGCACACCCCCTACTGGGGATATGCCCGAAACCAAGGTACATGCCCTTGACCGGAATCAAACACGGGTCCCTTCAGTCCCCAAGCCGACATTCTATCCATTGAGCCAAACCGGTTTTGGCTGATACTCAGTTTTTAAATGCTCCTGACAAGTCCAATAAGACGGGGATTAACCATTATCTTCAGCAACAGGGAGTCACTGAGTGACTCTAAGGATTGGATGGAGTAGTGGTGTGAAAGCTACTACACCTTTAGAATCTCTACTTGGGATGGTTTCCAGTAAGAATGGCAGTAGAGAAATTGTAGAAAGTGAATTAGTTCCTCCAGGAGGTTAGCTTAAAAGAGAGAAATGGGACAATAGCTGAAGGTGGACAAAGCTGACAGAGAATGTTTAAGATTTTAAAAATAATAATTTGTTCGTAGGCTGGAGGTACAGAAACAATGAAGAAGGAAAAAGTTGGTGAAGCAAGAGAAATGGGAGGGAATTGATTATTAGTTTTCTCAGTGAAATAGGAAGCTACATTGTCAGCCAAGAGTATACATGGAGGAGGAAATACTGGAGGTTTGATGAGAAAGGAGATATGAAAATGTTTTCCGGGATAATTTGTGGACAGGAGAAAATGGTATGGTTGTCAGGCAGAATTAAGACTCCAGAAACTTAAAGATAATGATAATCATAAAATAACAAAGAGAATGCTGAAGTCATTTACTTAAAAAATTATCAGGCCAGATACACCATTAAAAATAAAACTAATTTTTTTTAATGTATTTTGGTATTGTAACTAATTATCTAACTATATTTTAAATATCAAAAAGAATCTTTAAATTTTATTTTAAATTATTTGCAGGCATATAAAGCAGTTGTTAATGATGCTACCATATTTAAACTTGAATTACCTTTGAAGCAGAAAGGGTAAGTTTTTTTTAATTATATGTTTAAATTTTATAAATTAAGTAGAAAAATGTTTTTAATTTAATTTTTCAATTATAGTTTACATTCAATATTATTTTGTTTATTTGTTTCAGATGTACAGCATAGTGGTTAGACAATCTAATAGTTGACAACGTGTACCCTTCTCCCCATAGATATTTCAACTACCCACCTGGAAAATGTTTTCTTCTTTTTCCTTTAGCATCTCTACTTGGTTATTTTTCCATCCTCATTAGTCACTAAAGTTATTTTAGTACCTAAAAAAGCATAGAATATGACTAAACTTTCTAAAAGTGGAAATCAATTTTAATGTGAATTTTTGTTTACCATTTTTTAAAATTGATCTGTCATTTATAGGATGAATTTACTTGTGCTAACTACTATTATAGAAAAATCAGAAAGTCGAAATGTAATGAAATAGTAATAAATCTGAGCTGTAGTAACTTCATAGTGCTAAGTAGCACTAAAGATCAATTGGAAATATGTTTTGATGTAATTTCTAGCTGAGAGTTGCTATTTTAAACAAATTTCACACTTAATGCTAAAACATTTTTATTTATTATTATTTTTAATTTTATTTAAGAAAGAGAAAGAAACATGGATATGAGAGAGATGCATTGATTGGTTGCCTCCATACATGCCCTGACCTAGGATCAAACCTGAAACTTAGGTATGTGCCCTGCCTGGGAGTCAAACCTATGATCATAAGTTTTGGGTTTGACCCAAACCCAACCATGTATCACTTTGTAGCTACCAACCGTGCATCACTTTGGAATTTAAGTTACATTAGAAAGAAACATTTCAGAGAGTGAAGATGTTATGTTAACATATTAGTAATGAAAAGTTTTAAATGTTAACTTTTAGATATGCATGGATTTACACAATGCAATACACAGGTAATGTATTACAGAATTGTACATTGGAATCATCATTTTGTTATTCAATGTCATTCCAATAAATTTATTTAAAAATAATTTTAATTCAAAAGTATTTTAGCAAGTATATAAATAAAACTTTTGAAGAGCATTGGCACCCAGCCAGATGTAATTCAGTAGTTGAGCATTGACCCAGGAACCAAGAGGTCCCAGGTTCTATTCCCGATCAGGGCACATGACTGGGTTGCAGGCTAGATCCTCAGTAAGGGGCATGCAGCCAGTTGATAATGTTTCTCATCAATGTTTCTATTTCTCTATCCTTTTCCCTTTTCCTCTCTCTAAAAATCAATAGAAACATTTTATTTTTAAATTTTTTTATTGATTAAGGTATTACATATGTGTCCTTACCTCTCACTCCTTGCCCCCCCCCAATAAAAATATATTTTTTAAAAAATAATAATCGTAGCCAATTTGGCTCAGTGGATAGAACATCAGCCTGCAGACCAAAGGGTTCCGTATTCGATTCTGGTCAAGAGCATTGGTTGCAGGGTCCTCAGGGCTTCTGCAGGGCTTGAGCAGGAGGCAACCAATCTGTGTATTTCTCTCACATCGATGTTTCTCTCTGTCTTTCCCTCTCTCTTCCACTCTCCCTAAAAATCATTGGAAAAATATCCTCAAGTGAGGATTAACAAAAAAATAAAATTTTATATATATAAATTATTTGCAGGCATATAAAGCAGTTGTTAATGATGCTACCATACACACACACATTAATAAAAAAATAAAATTATGCACACACACATATATTTATATATAGGTCACACACACACCTATTTATATAGGTCACTACTAGAATGAGGCACAGAGGCACCAAGGGTATGAAGTGTTAAGGTCTCGTAGGTCTAGCTCTCGGAGAACCTAAGAGTGTGTGCCTCCTTAAAGTGTGTGCCCAAGGTGTCCTCTTGCTCACCCAAGTCCCAGTCCTGATCACTGAACTAATATAAGAAAATTGTGAAAAATTGGCTTCAGAAAAAATATTTGCAGATATCAATTATTTTTTTATTAATTGGTTTTAATTTCTTTTTTAGGGTAGGATTAAAAACTCAGCCTGAATCAAAATGCCCTGAGCTGCTTGCCAATTACTGTGATATGTTGCTAAGAAAAACACCATTAAGCAAAAAACTTACTTCTGAAGAAATTGAAGCAAAACTTAAAGAAGTGGTACATAATTTTTTTTTTAATTTCAAAGTTTTTAATGACTGAACTTTGAATTTGTAGTTTACTTATAAGACTTTCTGGGATAGTATCAATTTTTTAAAAATGTATATTTATAAGAAACTAATATCAAATTTTATAGTGTAAGAAGATCTTTATAGGGCAGTGTTTTTTCTTCCTGCAAACTTTTATTCTATAACATTTAATTCTTTCCTTTATTGATCATTTTTAGGCAATTAAATTCTAGCACCTATTAAAGGTCAAAAAGTGGGGGGAAAGAAGGGCATGAGAATGATTGTTGAGATGTAGTTTTTCACCTGTTTCTTTTCGTGTGAGTCCAAAATAGGTAACTAGGGATGAGCAAGTTAAATAAGCAATTTATTGCTTTCCTTTTTTTTTTTTTTTTTTTTTTCTGGTTGTTAGTGTCATGTAAATATAAGCCCAGGAAAATAAAGAAGTAACAATAGACAAAAAGGCCTAAAGAGAAGATTAGTGTCAGAAATAAGTATAGAAGATAAGCAAAAGAGTAAATTGGGAAGAACCATTGCTTTTTATGTAAAGTTTTATTACATATATATAACATTTGAAAAATTGATATTTGTGGGAATTAAAAAGTTATTTGGTTATTGTCTCAAATTTGCTAACTTGTGAGGTAATGTATCCACGATGGGCAATTTAGTAGGCACCTCTCTCTCTGTATATACCTGTATGAATTTCTGAATTTTGACAATCGGGGGATATAGGGAGTTCTGAATGAGAGAGCTGTATATGTGAACCGACAGTAACCTTGTGTTCTGTACAGCTCTTGGTACTCAAATACGTGCAGAACAAAGACGTCTTTATGAGATACCACAAAGCTCACTTGACACGGCGTCTTATATTGGACATCTCTGCTGACAGTGAGATTGAAGAGAATATGGTTGAGTGGCTAAGAGTAAGTCAATTTTTAAAGAATATAACAGATGATTCGTATGTGGGGTTAAGTAACACATTTTTGTGATATCTTTAGTGTTGAAGAAATAGGGAATATTTCATAAACATGTAGCATCAATTAGATAACATAATGTGATATCTAATCATTTTATTTTTTAATAAGTAATTTTAGTGAAGCACCTTTGATCATTTGAACTGACCTTATTAAATAGGCCACATAACAGATAATTTCATTTTTAAGAGGTTTTCCATACTAAATACTTCTGTATATCAAAAAGAACCAATAGGTAAAAGATGATGGCTTATTTAGGGTAATCATTACTGATTGTGACAAAATTCCCCTATCAAAATACGTTGTCTGTTCCTCCCAGTTCATTTTAATGGAATTTGAGTTACATTAAAATGTGTTTTTCATATATATATATATATATATATATATATATATATATATGGCATTATATACTGATACATAACAATAAAACTATATGTAATAATTATCTTTATTATACATAAATATTTTATGTCTTTCATTTAAATATATTTCAAATTGCAGATTTATAGATAAACCTGCTTTGTAGTGTGGGGTAATAAAAATGACTGGGCAAACTGAGACTGTGCAAAGTGATCTTAATATTAATATCAAGTCACATATTTTGTGACTTATTTAAAAAAAAATTTGACAATAAATTAAAAGCTTTTACTGTATAATATAAATATGTAGGAAAATGAAAATTTAGCGAAATAAGTATTTATTTAGTACACTGATTTAAAATAAACTTTCAGTGTTTTATTTCTTTGGGAAAAAACTTTAGTTATGAGTAAATGTGCATTAATCATATTTAACACATAGTGGTAACTGAAAGTTGAACTGTGTTGTTGGTGTCCTGAGTTATTTATTATAGTGAGTAACTGAAATTCATGGGTATTGGAATTGTGCAGAGAAAGCCAGGATTGCCTGTACTATCTTATTTACTTTCTAAGAATTACATTTAGTAGGTATTAGACTATATACATTGTAATAATGAGAGGAAGGATATTATTTAATACTTCTGTCTTTGGTTTTCATAGGAAGTTGGTATGCCAGCAGACTATGTAAACAAACTTGCAAGAATGTTTCAGGACATAAAAGTATCTGAAGATTTGAACCAAGCTTTTAAGGAAATGCACAAAAATAATAAATTGGCTTTACCAGGTATTATTTTATAATTTTGTATATGATACACACTTTTTAACTTTTTTTACAAGGAATATCTTTGTTTTCCAATAAATTAAAAATAAATATTAGCAGTAATAGATACAAAGATGTTGCAAAATTCACATTTCTTTAAGACTTCCTGCAAAACAGAGTTTATATTTGCTAATCCTTATTTTAGAAACAATAGTACACTTTAAAAAATATATTTATGTTTTTATTGCTCTTAGAGTGGAAGGGAGAGGGAAGGAGAGATAGAAACATCAATGATGAAGAGAATCATTGATTGACTGCCTTCTGCACACCCCCTACTGGGGACCAAGTCCACAATCCAAGCATGTGCCCTGACCAGGATTCAAACTGTGACCTCCTGGTTCATGGGTGATTGCTCAGTTACTGAGCCATCTGGGCGGGTCAACAAGAATACACTTTTAAAATCTTTAGTCCTGTTTATTTTCACTAAAGCTTACCCTGTATGTATGTACATGCATATTTATTTTGAATTTTATCAATTACCAAGATTTACTTTCTATTTTTCTGATATTTTTGCCTATAGCTGATTCAGTTAATATAAAAATTTTGAATGCCGGTGCTTGGTCAAGAAGCTCTGAGAAAGTCTTTGTCTCACTTCCTACTGAACTGGAGGATTTGATACCTGAAGTAGAAGAATTCTATAAAAAAAATCATAGTGGTAGAAAATTACATTGGCATCATCTCATGTCAAATGGAATTGTAAGTAGATGTGTTAGCTAAGATACTGGTTTGACTGAAAGTGGCAGGACTCCAAATAAGAGTTGCTTAAACATGATAGGTTTGCTTCTAACACATAAACGTCTGAGCAGGAGTAGTAGCTCTCCTCTGTGAACTTGTTAGGAACATAGGCTTCTAATTATATCCCTTCCTTTGTCCGCAAAATTCAGTATGATCCTTACTATGTCGTTCAGCACAACAGAAAGATGGGGGTATATGTTCATTTAAGGGTAACTTCTAGAAGTTTCCCCCATCATTTCCACTTATGTCTCATAGGCCAGAACTCAGTCGTATAACTGCATTTGTTCCAGGGAAAGTTGGGAGATAAGCCTTTATTCTGGGCAGTCATTGAGTTCTGTTAAAAATTGTAACGAAATGCCATGAAAGAAAGCAAAGAATGGATATTGGAAGGCAGCTACCAGTGTTTTCCATATATAATCTCACGCAAGCGATGCTGTAGTAGATAGATGGTAATTGTTATGAATAGAGTCTTCGTTTTAAATAATTGCATTATCTGTTATGTTACAGATAACATTTAAGAATGAAGTAGGTCAATATGATTTGGAGGTAACAACGTTTCAGCTGGCTGTGTTGTTTGCATGGAACCAAAGACCCAGAGAGAAAATCAGCTTTGAAAATCTAAAACTCGCAACTGAACTCCCTGATGCTGAGCTTAGAAGGACTTTATGGGTTTGTTTTTTATTTTTCAAATTTTATCCTGTCACATAGCAGAAAAGTGTTGATTGCTTGTAATAAATTTATGAATTCATAACAATTTCAAATGAATTTTAATCAAGAAAAATACATTTGAATGAGGTATTTATGGGAAAAATTGAAAATAAACAAGTTACTGTCATGGAGAAAGGCAGAAAAAGGAGAGAACAATTGAGTTGGTAAATTGTACCTGTTAGGAGTGTGACCAAAGATTTCATTATGAGAATGTTTTAAAGATCGATGACCAAAAATCTAAGAATTAGACAACTTTGGTTTTTTTGTGGCCTTATAAAATGTACTCAGTAGCCGGTTTGGCTCAGTGGATAGAGAGTCAGCCTGTGGACTGAAAGGTCCCGGGTTCGATTCGGTCAGGGGCATGTCCATTGGTTGCGGGAGCATCCCCGTTGAGGGGTGTGCAGGAGGCGGCTGGTCGATGATTCTCTCTCATCGACATTTCTAGCTCTCTCTTTCCCTTCCTCTCTGTAAAAAAATCAATAAAAAATATATTTTTAAAAAATGTACTCATTTGCCTCCTACTCATAACTACATTTTATCCCTACTCTGTAGACATCTTAAAAGTTCCAAAATAAATTATTACCTAGAGAGAAAGCTGCTATATTAACTGGCAAGTGGAGTTTGCTGTGGGTCATGAATGACCAGTCCCTCTAGTGTCTTGATGTATTGTAAAGGAAACATGTATTGCTTCCTCATAACCTACTCTGTTCTCCTCATTCTCTCTCTTCTCCTTATGCATTTACATTATATTCACGGAGGTACCCAATAAAAGGTTGGATTATGTAATCTTTTCTCACCTCTATTAAGCATGGTGGAGAATGGATCTTAGTATTTAGCACTGTTCATAGGTGCTAATTGTTTTCTCTTTGTCCTTTATAGTCTTTAGTAGCTTTCCCAAAGCTCAAACGGCAAGTTTTACTGTACGAACCTCAAGTCAACTCACCCAAAGACTTCACCGAAGGTACCCTCTTCTCAGTGAACCAGGAATTCAGCTTAATGTAAGGTTTATGTTGGTTGATTTAAAACAGAAATACCTTGTTTGAATTTTGATATTTAAAACACGCCTGTATACTCCATCATTCTAGAGCAGTGATTTTCAACCTTTTTTAAAACTAATTACTAAAATTTTGCAGCACACACAAAAATATATTTTTGCCAATCTAACACACAAAACATATAATTTTGATTTATTCATATCAGATGGCTATTGTTGGGTTGTCATTTTTTATCTGGCAGTCTACAGGAAAAGAGGTCAGTGCCCCTGAGTCAGGTACAGTATTGTATGCTTTAAAAATGCTTGTGGCACACTAGGTGAAAAAACTGCTGCTCTAGAATATGCCAGTGAACTGTTTATTAAACATGAATGTATTAGAGATGTTTCTTTCTTTCTTTCTTTTTTTTTATTATTGAGATTCTTTATTGTTTAAAGAATGTCTCCTTTTCCTCCCACTGTTCTCTCCCCGGCCGCTTCCACCCCCCAGCACATGTTCTCACTCCCCTATTGTCTCTGTCCATTGAGATGTTTATTTCTTTACATATTTTTCTTTTTTTAAATTTCCTTATTGATTAAGGTATCACATATTTGTCCTCAACCCCCCATTCCAATCCCCCACCCCTCCCTACTCATGCCCTCATTTCCCTCTTGTCCTTGACCACTGGTTAGGCTCATATGTATGCACATAAGTCCTTTGGTTGATGTCTCCCTTTTATCCCTTCACCTATTTTTCATGGATACATATGTGCATACATTTTGTGTCTGACATTACACAGTATTGCTTTTCATTTTTAAAGTAAATCATCCTTTTGTATTTTAAAGCAGCTTTATGCACACAAAGCATTTGTTTTTTCTTAAGATTCACTTAGACTTAGCCAGGTAGTTCAGTTGGTTAGAGCATCATCCCAGTATGTCAACGTTGCAGGTTCGATCCCCAGTCTGGACACATACAAGAATCAACCAGTAAATGCATGCATAAATAAGTGAAACAACAAATCTCTCTTGCACACATTCTCTCTCTCTCTCTCTCTCTCTCTCTCTCTCTCTCTATCTCTCTCTCTCTCTCTCCCGCCTCTCCTTCCCTCTTTTTTTGTTTCTATCCTTTCCTCCTTCTGTACCTATCCCTCTCTCTTCCTCTCCTGAAATCAGTCAATAAATAAGTTTTTTTCAAAAGTTCTAGTTAGAAGATAATGTGGCCTGGCCAGCATGGCTCAGTAGTTGAGCATGGACCTATGTACCAGGAGGTCATGGTTCAATTCTGGTCAGAGTACATGCCTGGATTGCAGGCTCACTCCCCAATAGGGGCATGAAGGAGGCAGCCCATCAATGATTCTTTCTCATCATTGATGTTTCTATCTCTCTCTTTCTCTCTCTGTCTGTCTCTCTCTCCCTTTCTCTCTGAAATAAAAAAAATATATCTAACTAATAAAAGAGAAAGATACAAATGCCCACCAGCCAATCAGGAGTGGGTATGCAAATTAACCCAACAAAGATGTGTAATTTGCATACACAGGTGTGGACTAAAAACTAAAGAGGCCTGGCTTCTCCACTGCGGCCGGCCGGAGGGAAGGCCTGGGTCCCGGGTGCCGGAAGAAAATGGGTGCCAGCAGCTAGGGGAAGGAAGGCCTATTGCACAAATCTTCGTTCAACAGGCCTGTTATATATATATGATAATACTGAATTACAACATATAATCTTCAAATAATCACATTCATGGCAATGTAAATTATATTAACTCTGTTATTACAGGAAGTGTTAACAGAGTCTTTATTGTGTTTGAGTGAAATCATAGGGTTTATTTTAGATAAAGCTATGTATGTTGGTTATTTCTTACTTGTCCTTTAAACAATTCTGGATATTAATCTTTAAAATATTTCCAACTCTTTTTTTCTCAGACCTTGCTGCTATATGATGTTTATAAGGCCTCTCACTGTAAAATAATTTGATTCAATGTTTCTTTATAGAAAAAATGCAAAAGTTCAAAAAAGGGGTAAAATCAACTTGATTGGACGCTTGCAGCTCACTACAGAAAGAATGAGAGAAGAAGAGAATGAAGGAATAGTTCAACTACGAATACTAAGAACCCAGGTTTGTAATATTAATATAGAATGTCTAAAGTTTTTTAAACTTTGGCCTTTTGATGTTATTGTTTACTTCTGCAAGCATTTTTTTAAAATTTAAAAGCATGTAGGTATTTTTAACCTTTTTGTAAGGAAGACCTAATTTTCATTTTACTGGAATTTAAAAATCATATTGAGACATTGTCTATCTACCCTGGCCAGTGTTTCTCAGTAGTTAGAGCATTGGCCTGGGCACCAAAGGATCTTGGATTCTATTCAAGGGCATGTGCCTAGATTGCAGGTTTGATTCCTCAGTCTGTACCTCTCTTTGTCTTTCTCTCTCTTTTTTCCTCTCTTCCCTTTTTCCCCTCTCCTTCACTATATCTAAAAGCAATGGAAAAATATCCTCAGGTAAGATTTAACAAAAAGAAAAGAAGAAAAAGAGATGTCTCTATGGTAGACTCTGTAGATTGTGTCAAACCTTGGTTTTAGGTTCTTATCTTCATTTGACCACACTGATAAATGTATCTCAGCAAAAAATTGCAATTCTGGGATTGATGTATTTACATTTTATTTGACTTCTAATTCCATTGTAATATGAAATTACAGAACATTTTTAAAAACATTTTAAAGCTAGGATTATGATACCTTCTGAACATAATAAAGAATACCTATTACAAGCTAATATACGACCATTATAACTTTAGAAATAGATCTATTAAAATCAAATATGCCACTTTTATAATTTTTACTTAGTATTATTTGAAACAACTGGCCAATGCAATGAGAAAAGGTTAAAATGTTTTTTCTTTATTGATTAAGGTATTACATATGTGTCCTTATCCCCCCATTGCCCCCCTCCCACTCTGCCCCCACTCATGCCCTCACCCCCTGGTGTCTGGGTCCATTGGTTAGGCTTATATGCATGAATACAAGTCCTTTGGTTGATCTCTCCCCCTTACCCTTTCCCACCCCTACCTCCCCTATGAGGTTTGACAAAGTTTAAATTTTTTGTTACTTAGAGATCACATAATATAATAAAGGAATAAAGATGAGTGAATAAAAATTGCATTTCTATTTATCAGTAAACATTTTAAAACATGAGATAAAGAAGAAATCATAAAATCCATAGGCATTTCTTTAAAAAGTAATGTTTAGTATCTTATATGAAGAGAGTGAACCTTTACTGAGATTGGAAAGATAATGCGAATAAAGAGATCATGCTCTTTTTGTTACTAAAAATTTTTAGTGACGTGTAATTTACCTATAACAGAATATACCTTCAAAGTATACTTTTCAGTGAGTTTTCATAAATGTACATTGAGTGGCCAGATTATTTTGATCTCTGAACACGTAATAATTTGGCCACTCAGTGTATATGTGTGTGTGTGTGAGAGAGAGAAAGACAAAGAGAGGTACGCACTCTGAGAGGCCCGGTGCATGAATTTGTGCATGGGTGGTGTCCGACCAGCTTGGCCAGGGAGAGAGGACATGGGTGGTTGGCCAGCCTACCTGCTGGTCGAACTCTTGGTCAAAGGGACAATTTGCATATTAGCCTTTTATTATATAGGCTATACACTGAGTGGCCAGATTATTATGTGTTTAGAGATCATAATAATATGGCCACGCAGTGTATATACCTGTATATCCATCATCTCAATTAAAATACAGAACATTTTGCCTAGCTGGTGTGGCTCAGTTGGATGAGCATCATTCCATAAACCAAGAGGTGTCATTTCGATTCCCAGTTGGGGCACATGCCCAGGTTTCAGGCTCAATCCCAGTGGGTGTGTGGGAGGCAGCGGATGAATGTTCCTCATTCCCTTATGTTTCTGTCTTCGTCTCCCTTTCCCTTCCTCTCTCTTAAATCAATAAAACATTTTTAAAAACAACAAAAAAAGAAAACCCAAGTCATTTCTATCATTTTAGTAATTTCTCCATATCTTCCATCAACCCACTTAATTCCTGTCACCATTGCTTAGTTTTGCTTGTTTTAGTTCTTCATAAAAATTGAATCAGATGGTATATGTACTTTTTGTCTCTGGCTGCCTTTGCTCAACAGAAAATACCATATTCCTTAATGATAAGGCTGAATAACTTAATGAGTCAGTTTTTCTCATATTAGTATCAAGTTTACCAAATATCATACAAAAATTCAACTAAGAATAGTTTTGGAATTTTATATATTGATTAGAGGCCTGGTGCACAAAATTCATGCACTGTTGGGGAAGGGGGTTGTCCCTCAGCCCAGCTTGTGCCCTCTTGCAATCTATTAGCCTTCGGGAGATGTCTGGGAGCCCTCGGGAGGGGCTCCTGCCACTGCTGCTGCGCTCACCAGCCATGAGCCCGGCTTCTGCTGAGCAATGCTCCCTCTGTGGGAGCTCACTGACCACCAGGGGGCAGCTCCTGCATTGAGCATCTGCCCCCTGGTGGTCAGTGCATGTCATAGTGACTGGTCGTTCTGCCATTTGGTCGATTTGTATATCAACTTTTTATTATATAGGATTCTCAGTTTTATCAGAATAATATATTTGAAACCTTAAAAAAGTAGTAGGATGATGATGGTTGAGCTTACCTTGCCAAATATTAAAACTTATTAAAATATCTATAAAATGCCCTAGCCAGTTTTGTTCAGCAGTTAGAGCATCTGCACTTGGACTGACGGATCCTAGGTTTGATTTTGGTCAAGAGCATGTACCTCGATTGCAGGCTTGATCCCATTGAAGTACATGCAGGAAGCAACCAATCTTGATGTTTCTCTGTCTCCCCCTCCCTTCCACTCTCTCTAAAAGTCATTGGAGCCCTAGCTGGTTTTGCTCAGTAGGTAGAGCGTTGGCCTACAAACTAAAGGATCCCGGGTTTGATTCTGGTCCATGGCACATGCCCGATTGCAGGGAGCATGCAGGAAGCAGCCGATCAATGATTCTCTTTCATCATTGATGTTTCTCCTTCTCTCCCTCTCCTCTGAAATCAGTAAAAATATTTTTTTTTCATCAATGGAAAAATATATCCGCAGGTGAGGATTAACAAAAAATATCTACAAAAATATGATAAGCAGATTAATTGAAGAAAATAATTCAGAAATAAGTATCCTTTATAAGTAAAGACAAACTTTACAATAAAGGAAATAATTTCCATGACCAATGAAAAGGGAATAGATTATTCAAGAAAAGGTTTTGGGAAATTTTACTTTTTTGGAGAAAAATTATAATACATTTTTAGTTTATGGTGACACCAGGATAGATAAATTTCAGATGGATTAGAGTTGAGATGTATAATGGATAGCAAATATAATCATACTATTAGATGTGCAGAGAAAATGGAGGTTTTGGGAGGTAATGAGGGAATAAGGATACAAATGTAACACCTTAATCAATAAAGAATTTTTTTTTAAATGGAGGGTTGTTTTTTGTTTGTTTGTTTGTTTGTTTTGTCTTAAACTGATCCTGAGTTGTACCCAGTCTGGTAACCTCAGCTATTCCTTTAGGTCATGCTGAAACTTTCTCATTTCTCCCTGGTCCAATTCCACCCATTTGCATTATTTGCTATTTTCATAGATGGCATCTGGATGTATTGAGGTTGAAAGGAATTAATTTGACTTTATAGTGACAGTGAAGGGGCTGTCATATTTATAGATTGTGAGAGTGTCCTGGGTTCTTGCTCATGGCAGCTATGGAGTGCTTTAGAGAGGAATGTGCCATCTACTGTTGTCTGTAGCAGAGGTGCTGTGATTTATTCTTTTTGCAGTTGGTAAGGACCACATAGCCACGTCCCTGCTCTCACTACATCCTCTGCTCTTTCTGAGCTCTTGAGCTCTCTAAGACTGTGCCACATCTTCAGTGTGGCCCATAGCCTACATGGCACATGGTCATGTCATCCACTGCTGCAGGATCCCTCTCACGAGGGAATGGAGAAGGGTTCAGGAGTGCAGATTATTCCCATCAGATCATATCACTCTTTTAGGGACCACCAGCATGTTAAATGGGGACCAGCCACACTGGCCAGTGTGGTTCAGTCAGTTGGGTGTTGTACCATGCACTTAAAGGTTGCTCATTCGATTCCTGGTCAGGGCACATGCCCGGGTTTTAGGCTCAGTCCCCAAAAGGGGGTGTGCTAGAGGCAGCCATTCGATGTTTGCTCTCACATCCATGTTTCTCTGTCCTGCTCCCTTTCTCTCTCTCTAAAAATATTTTTTTTATATTTTTTAAATATATTTTTATTGATTTCAGTTTTCATCTTCTTTATCACAACCACCATCTTACCATTTAGAAGGGAGAAATTGGGACACTTGAGGATTACAGAAACCTCTTCCTGGTTTCTGTAATCCTCAAATGCTTAAGGGACAGCCTTTCCCTCTTTCTTCTTTCTGTGTGGGCCCTTGACATAGACACCCCCGGTCAGGAGCCTGGCCTCTGGATATGTTGAGAATGGGAAGAATTCACTTGATCTCTAAGTAACAGTGTAGGAATTAAACCATCAAGGAAAATATTGAATAAATTGGCATAGATAAAAATGCTTACTCTTGAAGAAATTGAAAAAGATTTAGTTGAATCGGTACAAATTGAAGATACTATATGATTTATTAATCTGATAAATATGTAAATCATAATAATTATTGATGTCTTAAAACAGACACCAACTAGCCTCTCTTCCTACAAAAAGAAATAACTGAATGCAAGTGGAGAAGTGTGTGTAAGGGTTTTGTTGTATCTTAATTGACTTTTAAAAATATATTTTTATTGATTTCAGAGAGGAAGGGAGAGGGAGAGATAAAATCATTTCTAGTGATGAGAAAGAATTATTGATTAGCTGCCTCCTCACACCCCACAGTTGGGATCAAGCTCACAACCCAGGCATGTACCCTAACCAGGAATTGACCTCCTGGTTCATGGGTCGACATTCAACCACTGAGCCACACCAGTCGAGGTATTAATTGATTTTTAACACAATACTGATTATATACATATTGTGCTCACAGGTAATATAAATTTTTAGAATGTGCATAGTGTAGAAAAAGGAATGAAAGGAATTGGCCAAAACATTAAGTCTGGTTTTCTTTCGGCCAAGAGATTATAGATAATTTTGCTTTTCCCTGTTTTTCAAAATGTCTATAATTGAATTATCTTTTACAGTGAGCATACAAAATATATTTATATTTGTTAAGAAAAGGATACTGGCCCTGACTGGTTTGGCTCAGTGGATTGGGAGTCAGACTGCGGACTAAAGGGTCCCAGGTTCGATTCCAGTCAAGGGCATGTACCTTGGTTGTGGACAAATCCCCAGTGGTAGGTGTTTAGGAGGCAGCTGATCAATGTTTCTCTCTCATCAGTGTTTCTAACTCTCCTTCCTCCCTTCCTCTCTGTACAAAATCAATAAAATATATTTTTTAAAAAAGAAAAGGATACATAATCTTCTAGTGTAGTGATTTTCAACTTTTTTATCTCATGATAAATACAAACTAGTAAATATCTGCAACACAGCAAAAAGTTTATTTTATACCGATCTGACAAAAAAAAAAAATAGGTATAATTTTGACTGATTTACAAAAAAATAGTAATAATAATAATTACCTACCCCTTTTGTTCCAAAGTGACTTTAAAAAAAAAAAGTGCCTATTCTTGTACATAAGGATTTCTAGACACAACCTTATTATGCTATGTGATAAATAGAATGCAACTCTATTGTGTGACTTATTTAATATGGTTTAAAACAGGGCATACATACCACATGGCTGTTGTTAATTTGACAGTCTAAGATAAAAGAGTTCGGTGCCCCAGGTAAATAGTCAGGTATTGCATGTTTTAAAAATTCTTGGAGCATATCATGGCACATTGGTTGAAAATCGCTGTCTTAGTGATTATTTATCATTTGGGTAGATGTTGGATAGAGGATAATATACATAAGTCATTTTTTGTTTTCCTTTACTTAAAATAATCTAATTATTCTCTTTCATTTTTATTTATTTTTTTAGGAGGCTATCATACAAATAATGAAGATGAGAAAGAAAATTAGTAATGCTCAGTTGCAGACTGAATTAGTAGAAATCTTGAAAAACATGTTCTTGCCACAAAAGAAAATGATAAAAGAGCAAATAGAATGGCTAATAGAGCACAAATACATCAGAAGAGATGAATCCGATATCAACACTTTCATTTATATGGCATAATTTTGAACATCATGGACAATATTAAGAACTCAAATTTTGGAGTGCTTGGGCAGAAAGTTGCAACAGTTTGTGCTGAAGGTTTATTTGGACTCTGATTACATAAATATTAAAATCTCTGCCTTATCTAACAAAACAACTATATTTTGCCAACCACATTAGTTAGCATGATGGCATTCCCTTCATGTCACACACTCTTTAACAGCATGCTCTTTTGTGGGAGACACTTGCATTCATGAAGAGCCCTTTATGAACTTTTAAAAGGAAATTTGACTTATACCCACGGAAGAAATATAGTTGGGAAGGGTGAGGGTGGGATTCTTACTGCTTTTTCTCCTTTTTCCTCTCACAAAAATGTACTTGCACAAGGAAGGATCTTCAGATATTTGTGCACTGAAAAATGTCATGTGTTGTTTTTAAAATGCAATTAAAACTAGAAATAGCACTCTTGGTTTCTTTTGATCAAAAGAGTGAGCTGGTCTACACAACATTGGGAGAGGAGATAAGTATTTAATACGTATCAAATTATTTGTTCAAACACTGCTTCAGTATAATAACTGGATTTTTATGGTGTCCTAAAAATCGTATTAAATTTTTCCAACTTACAAATGTTGGCTTTCTTTAATCAAGAGACTGCCATTTTAGTTGTTTGTTTTTTAATGATAAGGAGTATTTTTTATTTTATATGGCTGGAGAGCTTGTTTTGGAAAAGTGAAGCTTATATTAATTGCTTCTTCAATTGTTTGAAACATGTATGGAGATAGGGAGGTCATTTTGATTACAGAGTCAAAATAGCAAAGTTAAGTGTGTTTACTAATACACTTAATATATATACTATATATACCTATTATTGGTTATGCCATATCCAAATTCATTAAAAACAAGGCAGAAATTTCCTGCTATCATATAATGCAGTTATATAACTGATCCCTTACTCCGCAGCATGGAAATATTTTGGTATTTTAGTCTCTTGATTAGGGATTTGTAGCCTCAGGTTTCCTGATAGGAAGGCATTCTGCTTTAAACAAGTAATAAGTACCAGTTACCTACAAGGAAGAGAGAAACCACAACATAGGAAAGACCTGAAAACCATAAATAAAAGTGTTGCAATCTTAATATGAACAGTGAACTTGCCAAATATGTGTACATATATATTTATATATTTGAAAAATAAACATTTTTTTAAATGTTCAGAAGGCAACTCTTACCTTGTTCCTCTTAGTCAATCCAAAGTAGCAACTGACTAGTTGCTGGTAACTGAATATCCAGAGGAGTGAAGATTCCGTACTTAAGAACATGAGCAACTTAAAAAGAGAAAAACTCCCCACTGGGAAAGTATGGCTCAACGTGGACTTTTATTCATGATGATACACGTTTCAGATTTTCTTGAAAATTATTTTGCTTTTTGTTTGATATTGAGTAAAATGGTTAACATGTGATTTTGAAGCCAGTCGGCTGTGGTGTGCTGGAGCATTCTGGCAGAGTGATTTCAGGGGCGATTCATGGAGTCTGTCCTAACCCCCAGAGGCTTTGCGAGCTGCCTGATGAAGGAAAGCTGATTTAAAAACATTTAAGGTTTTGCTGATTATAGTCCAATGCCTGCTCTGAAACTCATAGGAAATTGGAATTTTGTTTCTAATTTTAAATTTTTTACATGAGTTCCAAGATAGCATATATCAATTATTAGACCAAGTCTGTTGTGAAGAGTTAATTTAGTGCTCATTGTTTTCTCTAATTAAATGACTGCTAACAATGGGCAAATTCTTTTAAGAATTGTAATAATTGTGGTCCTTGTGTTTAGCAAATAGTTTGCTCTTGGCATATTTGCTTATCCAATACAAGAATGCCAAAGGAAGGAAATACTACATTTTTTCAAAGTTGAAGATTTATTGTTTTAAATTATAATTGTTCTCAGAACTTGTTTGTTATTTCTAATCATTTTGGTGATTTAAGAGTGAGAGCCATGATGTTTTGATTTAATAAAGGCAAATTTAATGCAAAAGTGGGTAAACTCATAGCAAACTTTTCTATTAAATTTTATAAATTTTTAATAGCTAATTATGTCCTAACTGTATTTGGGGGAATAGAACAGCAGTAAATACTGTAGACACAGCTTTCAACATTTTTTTTTGTTATGTACACAAAAGTTCAACTACTTTTTGGTGTTTATGAAAACCATTCAGTTGACAAGGTGCCTATGCCATTACTAAATTTTCTTTAAATATATTTCGACAATAGATTTGCTAATTTAAATAAAAAGAATCTGAAGAAAAAGAACCATTTACAGCAATTTGCTAAATACTTAATCACAGTTGTATTTTTATCAGGTCCCTTTTCTATAATGTGCACTTAAAATTAGTGCTGTCTGAGCAGGAATGAAACCTGACATAGTTAAGGGGAAAAAATATATACCTTTTTTTTTTTTTTTTTTTTTTTTTCCCATGACTAGTATGGCAATAGGACTCTTCACAGGTTAATTTAAGCTTCAAACATTCATCTTCTAACTTAGAGATGGAGCCATTCGGAAATGTTAACATTTGTTACCATCCCATTGCCAGAGTAAGTAGACGTGAAAAATCTTTTTAATAAAAAAAAAAGAAAAATACAGAACAATTTTAATACTTACAATGAGGTAAATATTAAGCCATTGTTTCAATGATTTAATGAAGATCTTGAAAAACATCTGAAGTCTTCCAATTTTTACATTTATTGGAGGGGGTCTCTGCCTTCTGTCAACCTATTTAAGCCTCTTACTTTGTGCATAGGTGTTGAAATTTCCAAAAATGAAATGTTAACTTTTTATTTTTACCTCCTATTAAATTTAATGCAAAATATGGCCGCAGTTTTAAAGTATTGTGCATTATTTGCAGTAGGATTTCATTAGCCCTGCTCAAAGGACAAATTTTAAAAATTCAATTTGGGTGAAAGATTTGCTAGTTTTCTGGAAAGATTTGCTATCATCAACTCAAGCTGGTTTTTCTATTTTCATGTAAATGACTGGAATGCTATCTTACAAACTCTTCAAGGTTGTGTGTGTGAAGTGAACATTACAAGAAAGCTTTCCTGTCATCTACACTATATGTGTCGCCTGGAGTGTTGAACAAATTTGAGTTCCTAAGTTGTAATCTTTATGGTATGTATGATTTTGAATGTGTGCCACTACATACTGAGGTGATAACGCTGTACAATTTTAAATAGTAGCAGTTTCTGTATGCAGTAGGCTGAAATATTTTGATGAACTGCTTAATTTTTTGGATTTTATTTTTTAAGTTGTATAATTTATTTTCTTGCAAAATAAAAATGTAATATAAAAGCTTTCACCTACCCAGAAAATGTTGATGTTCTACTGTAAAATAGTTTCTGAGCTTAATTAAAAATTTTATAATAGGTATACTTATGTATTTCATGGAGAAATAGTAAATCTCAGCCAACCTTAGGAATCAGAAATATGAAGAGTAACCCACTTATTTTTCTTTTTAGATTTCAAATTCTAGTTCAGAATGAAAGTTATCAGGAATGTAGCTTTTCCGTTGATGCTAGCATATGGCCCTCATGCCTGGAAGAAGTAAAAAATTCTAAACCTGATGGCGATAAATGCATTCATTCACCAGTTTAATAGGCCTTGTCATAACATTTAAATTTCATATCGGATCAAATTTTAAAATATAAGATAATATGTATGTGAAAATTTGTAAATTTAAGTTTTGAAGCTATAATTTAGTAATAAGGCTATGAAAATGGATCATGTCTTTGTCATTGGCTGCTGTAACAATGTATAAAAACTGGATGGCTTGTAAGCAACAAATTTATTTCCCACAATTCTGCAGGCTGAAAGTCCAAGGTCAGGGAGCCATCATGTTTGATCCTGGTGAACAGCCTCTTCCAGATCACAGACTGCTGACTTCTCGATGTACTCTCACATCGTCACCATGGCAGAAAGAGGGCTTTATAAGGGCACTAATCCCACCCATGGGGACTCCACCCTCATTACCTAATTGCCACCCAAAGCAAAGGCCCTACCCATTCCCCTAATAACTTCACATATGACTTTAAGGGAGATAGATAATTCAGAGCACTTCATAATGATCCTAAACTAAACCATAGACTTTAATGGGATTGTGGTGGGGTAGGAGGGTTGACTTGAAATGACGGAAAAGTATGGTGTGAGTGTAAGATTCATCAGAACCTAGGTTTACCATTAAGCTTTGAGGCTCTTTACTTGCACAATCCCTAGGGATTTTGTATTGTATATTTTTCTCAGAGTCCCCAAAATATCAGAAGTTGAATGCAGTCCTGATAACACTCAATGCATAAAGAAACCTGGCACATAGTGGGCACATAATGCCGATGGAATGAAGGAAAGCAAGTGTGCTTGGGAACAGAGTAGAGTTCAATGTTTTAAGCTTTAGGTGGGGAAACTTTTATAGTTGCTCATTCTAGGCTATAAAATGTGGACTTTGTCACTAAACTGTTTTGACCAATGGAGCAGGGGTCTTAGACTATAGTGATATTGCAGATGTTTATGAGCATCTGATTCAAGAAAAGACATGCAGCCCTAACCAGTTTGGCTCAGGGGATAGGGCATTGGCCTATGGGCTGAAGGGTCCCAGGTTCCATTCTGGTCAGGGGCATGTACCTTGGTTGCGTGCACATCCCCAGTGTGCAGGAGGCAGCTGATCGATGTTTCTCATGGATGTTTCTAACCCTCTCCTTTCTTCTCTGTAAAAACCAATAAAATATATTTAAAAAAAAAAAAAGACATGCATATAAAAGATACAAACAATAATGTGTATAAACCTTAAGTGTTGCAACACCCAACGTTAAAAACCCTTTAGAGAGATTCTAGAGTGAGGAAAGAGTAGCCGTTTGCTCTGTGGGTTGGTAGTGACCTAATGTCACAATTTTTTTTTAATTTATTGATTAAGATATCACATATTTGTCCTCAACCCCCCATTCCAATTCCCCACCCCACTTTCACTCATGCCCCCACACCCCTATTGTCC